GACTCCATTAACAACAACTCTTTGGGCAAGAAGGACAGCTGGAAGGCATCTCGCTCCTCCTCCCCACATATCAAAGGTGACTAAATGAGCTTGGATAACAAAAAAAAATTAAATAACAAAACCAAAGGAGATTTTTACAAAAGAATCACTTTCAGTGTTTGTGCCCATTCATGTGGGCTACCAACCTACAACTGTGCAATCAGACAGTCAGATGTTGTGGGCTGCCTCTGCCTTTGAAATGTGGCTTCCCTTCCTATGTCACATCATGAGATTAAACCGCCCCCATCTGACTATTTCTACCCAGAACTTGAGAAAACGACATATTTTTCTTCCAAGCCAATCAGAGCACAGTGGGCTTGAATACAGGTATATTCAGAGGAACAATTTCAGAATTTAGAAAACCAAAATACAATTATGAACCTGTTAAATATATAAACCTGTGAATAATCATAATTATAATAACAACAATAATAATGATGATGGTAATAATAATAATGATAATAATGACCATGAAACAGTAGTTCTGAGACTTGCTCTCTGCTGATACTCTACTTCAATTTTGATGGACTTGTACTTCACTTGCCATAACGTAATTTGCAGATTGTGATTCTTAATATAAAAACTCATAAATGGTTAGCATCTTTGAACACATGGGAATAGCGCTATAAAAATACAATTAATTATTATTGTTTTTATAAATCAACCAAAAAATACATTTTGCTATAGGATAAGGTCCCAGCAGTATATCAAGTCATTTAGATTAGCCCTACTGCTACTAGCTGCACATTCAAGTGATGTCCACACAGTATAGTGCAGCAGTGATGTAACTAAGTACTATACAATCTTGAGTAACTTTTACTTTATATAAGTATTTACATTTTTTGCTATTTGTACTTCTACCACTGAAATTCAGAGGTAAATGGTGTACTTTTACTCCACTACATGTATATAATCCCTTTAGTTACTTTACAGATTTGGATTAATGATGTGAAATATAATCAACACTTAAATCAGCCTGGAGTAAATTCACAAGCTACCCTGCAGTATACGAGTATTCCTGCTCTCCGCTACTTCTACTTTGACTAAAGTACAAAAGTACACTTCTTCCACCTCCGCTATACAAGAGGGACAACAAATGCTCTAGAATAAAGTGAAATGTTTTAAAAATATTTGTATTTTGTTGTTTTTCCTGTAACTCCTGTTTATCCAGGATGAAGTGCTAGGCCACTTTGATAATCCAGTGTGCGTTCATCTGGTTGCCTCATACATAATGCCATACTTGTGCTTCTTAAGGGGATCTTACACCAGCGGATATCCAGCCCAAAGCAGAGGACAAAGTTCGGAACAGCACGCGGCGCCCGGCCCCAAAGCCCCCCGCAGCTAATGGAGCCAACAGCAGGGCTAACCCTCAGGCTGCGGCCCCCCCCACAGACAGGTCTGCTCGCCTGCGCGATAGACAGGCGTCATGGGCCCCGCACACACAGGCCCCCAGCACACAGAGGAGTCAGAGGAGAGGAGGAAGAGGAGCGCCGGCCATGAGAGAGAGGAGCCAGGGGGACGGGAGAGGGAAGGATGGAGGGACAGCAGAGAAGGGAGAAAGGAAAGGAGGAAGACTGTGTGAGGAGTCCAAGGGGAAGGACAAAGAGAGGAATGGACATCAGAGGCCCAGAGAAGCAAATGGTCTGAAAAGCCGGGGGGCTGATGGGAGAGGAAAGGTCGGAGCTAAAGGGGTTAACAGAGGAGTGGGGGCCAAGCCAAATAATATACTGTCCACCCAGGAAGTGTGTGCAGCCATGGTGGTCCCTCGCACGCCTGTAGCACCAAGAAACCAGGAAAAGACCCAAGACCAAGGTACTGAACCCGTTCTATAGCACGATGGGGGGGATGTAACTTTTAGAAAGAAAGAAAGGTAGACTGAATTACAGTAGGGGGGGGGGGGGGGTCTGTATTTTGTTTCCTTGCCCTGTATTTATTTTCAGTGCCTTTTAAGATTGATTATTTGGAAAGGTGGGATCAAAAAAGTGTTATCAAAGATAACCACCGTGTGTTCTTCAGGTGTGATTGCTAAATGCATATGCCAGCAGTTCTCCTGTTTTATGGCTTTATTTGACCTAACAATTAAACATGTAGCCCATAGTAGCAGCATGTCCGTTTTCAGGATCATTTTATTAGTAATTCCATATAATGAGAACAGTTAAGTACAGTAAAGTCAAAATGTTCCAGTGAATGAAGATTACACCCACCACACACCCCTTTGGCAAAACTCATGTATTTGCATCCTTAATACAATCTAGGTAAACACTGGAAAAACGACCAGTGTTCAGAGTAAATATGAATTATAATTAAAAACATTATTCTCCATTTGTGTTCAATTGTATTGCCAACTACAAGGAAAGAAAACATTTCACAGTCCTTTGTAGAAGTTTTCTGAAATAAAAGATCCATATGTGTAGCCTTAAGAAAAGAAAGAGGACATAGAAATAGAAAGAGGACGTGTTTTTGTGGTCTACAGTGAATACTTTTGTTAAAGGGCAACTGTAGGGATGATAATAGTAATTCCAAGACAAGACAGCTCCCCTAAAGGGAAGGTGACAGAATAGTTAAAGGGTTAATAGTTAATAGTGGAGGAGTTTCAGAATTGTGTGCCAATGAAAGGGTCAGGGGGCCACCTAGATCGCTCAGCATCTTCCTCTTGGTACTACTACATGTCTAGTAAATAGAAATGTATATGACTTGAAGGTCATTAGATTCAGTCTTCTGAAAACTCACAGTTCCTCCTGATGTTTTAAATCAAATTACCTCAGCCTTTTTTTAAATGAGCACCCACAGAACAAGCTAAAAACTCAACATTTAAATATTGACCAAAAAAGTTATTATAGTCAGATTTAAAAAATGCCTATTTACCAAGGCCGGATTAATACCTCCAGGGGCCCCTGGGCACTTAGAGCTCATGGGCCCCCCAACCCTGCCCCAAAACAAAAATGTGAGCACACGTAACACCCAGTGGCGGCGCCAGGGTATGGCTGGGGTAGGCTACAGCCATACCAAGAAATGGCTTAGCCCCACCTTAGCCCCACCATGAAAAATGATGTTAAGGCGAGACACGGCAGGCAAAAACATCGTTTTTTAAGCAGTGGTCAATTTTGAGATTTTGTGCTATTTTGATTCTATAACATGTTTTCTTTCAGGCTTTTGGAAGGAAAACGTACAAAATACACATTGAAGTGTTTATTTTACTATAGTTTGTCTATTTGCGTCTGTAGATTTCTCCTAAATTCACCAAAAGTTAGCATTCTAACGTAATATAAATTACCGCGACCGCTGCACCATGTAATCAGAGGTATCGTTGGAAAGCTGTGTCTCTCCTGCACAATCTCATCGGATCCAAATATGGTCATTTCCTTTGTATCAGAAACCAATCGTGAAAGTACAAAGGGGTCTTAAACCAAGAAACGAAATCTCATTGGCTGGTGTCAATTTCTGACAACGTGATTCGTTCAGATGCGTCACGTGGTGTGCTAAAACACTTCCTGGGTTAGCTTTCCGCTAGAAATGTAAATCTCAAAATGGCAAAAGAACGGCGAAAAAAACGTTCACAGAGAAGACGACAACAATTGTCACTTGCACAAAGCAAGGTTATACAAAAAACAAATGACCCCGAACATGAAATACCTTCACGGAGTGCGTCAAGGCGCAAGCTGTCATCCAGATAACAGGAGGGTTTAGCTAGCGTCACCCTGCAATCTTTAAAGGTCGTTTTCTCAAAATGAGTTTTTTCTCCTACTCTGAGTCCGAAATGTCCACTTCAGTAGCACGTAGATACACCAAACCTTCCAGTTATATTCCTATCAATATTATGAAGGCTTTTACAGAAGGGTTTGTTCATATATCATTCATAGCCTGAATTATATAACATTGTATACCTAAAAACATGGCGAAGATTGATATTTTAGGGCTGTTGACAGTATTTTCTGATTTATGGAGTGATAAAAAGAGATATCCAAAATCCCTTCTGATAATATTATGACTACAAAATGAAACAACAATTTTGAACCTGGCTTTATCCAAAGTTCAGATTTCGATTCCTGAAATGTGTTAAAATATGCGCATATTTAATGAGATAATGGCTCATTTGCATATTTAAACATGCTATTTCAGAAAACTTGTAATACAAAAAACAATTGCCTTATTGTAAGTAATTAACTGGAGAAATTTCTAGCTGATATCTTTAAGTTAAAGAAATTACCCTATTCACCTGGGGTGTCTCGCCTTAAAGTAAGCAAAATGAAGTCCGCCAACTCGCGTGGAGTAAATTGCACAGACAGCAGTTAGTAAGATTGATTTCAGCAGCCACTTGTCTGGAAATACCGAAGACTAGAAACAGTTTTGAAAACTTTTGTCACGTAGTGATCGTCTTCTCAATAAAACATCTTTGATAATGTCTTCTGGCCAATCAGAATCACGATAACGGCGTGGTGTTGTTGCAGGAAGTCCCGACGGAGAATACTTTTGTTGTAGTACATCTCTATATACATCGATACAACATTACGTGTTGATAGAAATCAACACGTAATGAAATAAGACCCCACGGTTTGATGATTGATAGGTGTGTGGGCTGTCTTTCATTTTGACACACAGAACAATGGGGGCTATCCACCCTTATCCACAATGTAAAGTAATTCCCACAGCCTCTTCCCTCTTCTCTCTGTGAGGAGCAGCAGCACCTCCAGTTGACACAGAACCATGGCACAAGTCCAATATAATCCTCCTTTCATCTTCAGACTCTTCAACAGCGTGTCTCAAACCCTGTGTTTTTTGGCAACCTTCTACTGAAAACGAGTTTGATTGTTAGCCTGAAAACTAAAACAATGCTCTAAAACTGAGTAAATTGAACACCTCTGTATGAACACTATCACTCATGAGCAGGTGAGCTACATATGTGCCAGAACTGTTAAGTTCTTTGAGCATTAAAAGGTTTAAGAAGAACTGCATGTTTTTTGGTAAGTATACACCTGAGAAGATGAAACTCGGATTTTACTGAGTTGTTTGGAAGTTTTAGTGTCCTTCAAGATTCAAGTTACCTTGCTTCGAGTATTTGATATACAAATGGTAATTTTATGGGTGGAGTATTCCTTTTGAGGTAAGAAAACTTAAAGGTAGGGTAGGTAAGTTTGAGAAACCGGCTCGAGATACACTTTTTGTTATATTCCATGGAATGCTCTTAACATCCCGATAGCAATGAATATCTTAAGTGCTTTGACAAAAAATCCATGAAAAAAATGTCATCTGTGGAAGCCGTAGTACTGTAAAAAGCACGACCAATCATTTTAGCCGGCCCGGCTAAAATAACTGGATGGCCTACCTGCCTGTCAGCCTTCCATCTGTGCACAAACTTATCTCGTGCCCTCATTGGTCATGTGCGCGTTCGTGTGTGTTGGAGGAGGGGCTCTATAAGGAAGTGGCAGATTTTCTCCGGTTGTGTATTTTCAAATTATAGCGATCTCGAGACGGTTTCTCAAACTTACCTACCCCACCTTTAAGTGAAGTGGTTCACAAATAACTTTGCCCACATTTTATTCCCAAACTGTTCATAGTTTTCAAATGACTCTGTTACTCCTCATATAACTAACTACTGTCCATATTTTGTGTTCTTAGGCCAAAACCATGACAGGACCCAAGACAACCCCCCTATCCTCTCTAGATCCAGCAGTGAGGGGGGCTCAAACAGAATGTCCCTTAGCTCAGACACAGAAGGCCCCCCACCAGGGCCCCTGCATCCTTCTCTATCCAATCGAACCAACCCTGTCATCAGCGAAGAAGATGGGGAGGGAGTTTCAACTCCCTGTGCAAACGTCCAGAATGGTGTAATCCACTGTGACGAAAAAACTGAGATGGACTGTACCAAGTCAGAGGTGGACGCACAGGGAGGAAAAGATGACAATAACACTGAGGTCCCTCAGGGAGATGGTGCGGCTGCTCAGACTGTACCAAAGAGTGAATCTGCAGCAGGGTTAAATTATGACTCTGTCAAATACACTCTGGTGGTCGATGAACATGCTCAGTTGGAGCTGGTCAGCCTCAAGGACTGCTTGCATGGTTACCATGAGCACAAAGACGACAGCGATTCAGAGACGGTCTATCAGTCAGCCAATGAGGAGGAAGACCCAGAGTATGAGGAGGAGAGGAAGAGGATAGAAGAAGCAACAAAGCAAGGTAATGATGCAGCTTCATTCTTAACATGGCTGACATCATTTGTGTCACAAAGCAGTATCACTGTAAAGTTCATCGGTATGTTTTTCAAATGAAAGGGTCCCATCTCTTTGGGAGCATGAATGTAGGCTACTCAGCTAAATTCATGATCAATGTTCCTGTTAGGTTATAAGACATCTTGTGTAACAACACATGTCTGCATTTGACCATATGCAGAGGCAGCACCCCAGGAAGGATAAACATAAAGAAAAAGAAAAAACATTAAGCGCTTTTTGAGTTAATTTAGGCCTTGTAACTGATTCACCAGCACTTACTATGGTATGATCTTGCCTGAAGTGAATACATCTGCACTTGTTCGGAGTTTGAATCTTTATAGTTTTTACACTTATTGGAAGTCACTTTGGACAAAAGCTTCAGCTAAATGATATAATGTAAACGCTCCACACATAGGACATTTGTGTTTTAGCATCTGGCCCAAGGTCACAGACATGTAAACTGCAGGGGCCAGGGAACGAACCACCAATATTCCAATTAGTGGACGACCTCAGCCTAAAACTAGGTGCTACGTTGTTATATGTCCTCATGTGGAAAACTTATTTCATGTCCAATATTGATTCAGAGAAACATAACTATTCTCAGGGAATTGTATCTTTGTTGTTAGGATTGAGATTTTTAGGAAGCGTTCTCACTTACTGGACAAACAGCTTATGGTTTGGCAAGGGTTGGCATCAGAGTAAAACTGCGCAATGCCGGTTTGTGATTTGAATATAATTGAAGGACTAATCGTCTCATGGATTAGGCGATCAATACAAAAAAGACCAAGAGGACCTATACTGAGGCCTGTTGAACAAAACTGCTACTACACACACACTACACACACACTACACACACACTACACACACACTACACACTGCTACATGTGCGGAGGACCACACTTTGTACAAGATGATTTTGCAGGTGTAGCTTCAGGACAGAATATCTGAAATCATTTCGACCCCATCTTTTTGCACAGTTCCTTGGTTGTTGTTTCTTGCTGCAAAGAGTGTAACTCTTACTTGTTTTCTACTCCAAGAGAGGAGGAAAGAGGAAGAAAAGAGAAGAAAGGAGGAAGAAGTCTCCAAGAAGAGGAGGGAAGAGGATTTGAAAAGGCGGAGGGAGGAGGAGGTCAAAAGGAGAAGGGAAGTTGTGGCAAGGACCTGCAAGCAGTCCAAGGTAACCTCCACAACAACTTCAGAGGAAGAGGAGTCTAATGGAGAGAGGGCCGTCCCTTCCAGAAGTCAAAAGTTCCTCAACCTGTTTCCCAACAGCAGCTCTCAACACAGCGCCACTGGTATGTTTATAGTCCAAGGGTTTGATTTAAACGAAAAATCATTTAGAAATATATATTCATAAAGATCCCTTTATTGATCACCTCTATATGTGTGTTTGCCTGTTGATGCGCCTGTTGTATATGCTGCTCATTTGAGGTCCTAAATGTTAGTTTTGTTTGCTTTGCCTTTGCCTGAACTCATTCTTCACAAGTGGTATAATATAAGTATATATGGAAGCTGCAGTATCGGTTATAGGAGGAGTAAACATTTTACACATTGTTATAAGAACTATGTTGATTTAAGTGTATTTTTTGTTTACAACAACCTGAACACATGCATGCTGCTTGCCATTTGAATGTTGTTGTTTGTTTATGTTAGGATTTTGTTTGTCACATACACAATCCTAACATGTGTTTTTTTAAGTAGTCTTTTTATTTTATTTTAGACATTTTAACACAACACACAGAACAATGTACAACACCCCCACACCCCACCACTGATGGCCACACAGCACATCCACAATTTGACAACAATTGAATGATATTAATAATAATCCTCATCAACATAATCACAATAATACAGATAGACCAGAGGCCTGTACTACGAAGCTGGTTCAACCTAACCTGGATATGTTGGAGTTAGCCGGTTGGCCCAATCCAAAACATACGCGCTCTGGCTAAGCTGTACTACGACGCTGGTTATCAAGTGGATCGCTGAAGCCAGCCGTGTCCTATCTAGTTAGGTGCGCGTTCACATGAAAGGGGTGGTATTTGGAGCATTCGACCAATCTCAAACATGGACAAGCGTACTGACAGCGCAGCGTCATACTTCCTGAATGAAAAGTGACCTTTAATATTAGTCAAATATGAAGAAGTTAAACTTTAAACATCCATGACTTAAACACTTTATCCAGGATAAAAGCCACATAGCTGCACCTGCAAGGTGAATACAGCTGGTAAAAGAAAAAGTGTTTGAATGCGTACATTAAGAGGTTTATGATATCACTGCCCCGTCTAAGACACGAGTGGATCTGACTTTAATTACATTTGACTCGAGTGTTTCGTCAACTTAATGTGTTGCTTAAAATAATACTTCTACATACAGTATGTGACACTGTGAGTGTTGCACGGCCAGATACGGCTCAAGAAGCTGACTCAGATAAGGAAATATATGATACATTATGATGTGATATGATATGAATGATAATGGGACACATCGACGTCTGCACTCACAGTGCCGTGGACTGTACGTAATGTTACTCTGATCCGGTTACTTATGTTGTGGCAGATATTTAAGTAAGCTTTCTTAACGCTAATGTTATACTAGTCAGATTGCTCTGAAGATGGGAGGGGATATTCTATTAATTTTCACGTTCACACAGTCAGTTGATTTTTGCCGGCCGTCTTTCCTGCAACGGCAGTTTTTCTGTATTTCCTCTATCCTGTAATATGACTTGATAGCTTTAAACTCCGCACACGGAGCTCTGATTGGTCAGCAGGCGGTGCTTTCACTGAGTTGATCTCTTAGCCTGCAACCTAACCTCCTCCTGAGGAGGTTAGCCGCTCAGCATAAGTTACCATGGAGATCTAGCCCGGTAAAAAGAGAACCAGCGTCGTAGGACCGGAAAGCCCGAGTTTTCCCTGAAGTTAGCCGGCTAAGCGAAAATCCGGCTTCGTAGTACAGGCCTCAGATGAGATAAATAACATATATATTATATATATATATATATATATATACATACACATATACATACAGATCAAGCTGGAATATCAATCAAACATATAGAACTAAGAGGGATATTATTTTCAGTCTGCAATATGTGAATCCAGGGTAATCAGTCAACAGAAGCCGAATCATATCATGTGTCTCCCATAGTTGAGGTTATTTGGCCTTCTAAGCAGTGGAAATATGTCCCCTGGTTAGAATGGCACTTAATAAATAAAGGGGAAATGGAACGGTCTATTTTATGTAAGGTGACAGGAATAAAATGCCGTCTGTGAAGAATTGTATACTGGGTTTCCCTCAGTCTGTTACATATAAACGTGGTTCTGATTAAGTTTATAGATGCCTGCCTGATAACATGCTTTCCATTTTGGCGCTCTAAGATGAACTTCATTGCAAGGGAGGTTAAGAGAAAAAGACGCAGTCAGTGAAGTAACAAAATGCCTTATTTACAGATATCCAAAGAAATGCTGTTGCGGGATATCGAATGTGTCTTGTAGCTGCCGGAAAGATAAGAAAAAAATCATCCTTGAATAAGTCACCAATTACGTGAATACCCCTGTCCCTCCACTAAGATAAGACAATCTAATAAGATTGCATTTTACATCTGAATTAATCTTGTTTTTATCACAAGTGACCAGAGGCCTGTACTACGAAGCTGGTTCAACCTAACCTGGATATGTTTGAGTTAGCCGGTTGGCCCAATCCAAAACATACGCGCTCTGGCTAAGCTGTACTACGACGCTGGTTATCAAGTGGATCGCTCAAGCCAGCCGTGTCCTATCTAGTTAGGTGCGCGTTCACATGAAAGGGGAGATATTTGGAGCATTCGACCAATCACAAACATGGACAAGCGTACTGACAGCGCAGCGTCATACTTCCTGAATGAAAAGTGAACTTTAATATTAGTCAAATATGAAGAAGTTAAACTTTAAACATCCATGACTTAAACACTTTATCCAGGATAAAAGCCACATAGCTGCACCTGCAAGGTGAATACAGCTGGTAAAAGAAAAAGCGTTTGAATGCGTACATTAACAGGTTTATGAAATCACTGCCCCGTCTAAGACACGATCTGACTTTAATTACATTTGACTCGAGTGTTTCGTCAACTTAATGTGTTGCTTAAAATAATACTTCTGCATACAGTATGTGACACTGTGAGTGTTGCACGGCCAGATACGGCTCAAGAAGCTGACTCAAATAAGGAAATATATGATACTGTACATTATGGTGTGATATGATATGCACTCACAGTGCCGCGGACTGTACGTAATGTTACTCTGATCCGGTTACTTATGTCGTGGCAGATATTTAAGTAAGCTTTCTTAACGCTAATATTATAATAGTCAGATTGCTCTGAAGATGGGAGGGGATATTCTATTAATTTTCACGGCCGTCTTTCCTGCAACGGCAGTTTTTCTGTATTTCCTCTATCCTGTAATATGAATTGATCGCTTTAAACTCCGCACACGGAGCTCTGATTGGTCAGCAGGCGGTGCTTTCACTGAGTTGATCTCTTAGCCTGCCACCTAACCTGCTCCGGAGCAGGTTTGCCGCTCAGCATAAGTTACCATGGAAATCTAGCCCGCTAAAAAGAGAACCAGCGTCGTAGGACCGGAAAGCCCGAGATTTCCCTGAATTTAGCCGGCTAAGCGAAAATCCAGCTTCGTAGTACAGGCCTCAGGCCTAAAAGTGATTGTGGGGGACACGCCCAGGAATCAATACAAGTCTCCTTTTTGAGATATGCACATAGCCATGACCAGACGTAGGATGCATGGCAGGCCCAGTTGTAAATATCAAATTAGGCATAGTAAGGCCGTCCCTATCTGTAGGTTGCTGTAGTATATTAAGCCTCTGTCTGGGTTTTTTGCCATGCAAAATAAATTCAGAAAGTGATTTATTTTTCTAAGTCAAGATAAAATGTATTGGTCAAGTAAAGAGGGGGCATCTTTAATGGATATAAGTGACGGGGGAGGACACTCATCTTAATGAGACTGATCCGACCCATCAACAGAAACTGACCAGGACATCTGTGTTACTCATGGTCCCTAACGGCATAGATTCAGATTTACTATAATTGATCTTGTAGCCAAATATGGCACTGAACTCACTAAAGACTGTCATCGTAGTAGAAATCGACAGCTTGGGGCACGACAAAAATAGCAAGATATCGTCCACGTATAAGGCCATTTTATGTTGCACGTTCCCCATTATCACTCACCTTATATCAGTGTGTATACGAATACTTTCAACTAATGGTTCCAACGCTAAAGCAAAGAGAAGAGGGCTTAGTGGGCACCCCTGAGGTACGCCCCTAGCCACAGGAAAAGGTTCAGAGCGCCGTCCATTAGTTATGACTACAGCTGAAGGTGAATGATATATGGTTTGGATCCACCAAAGGAAGTCCCCTCCTAAGCCAAATCTCGCAAATGACTGTTTCCATCAGCTTTGGACATGTTCCCGAAAATAAATTAATCACTTTCTTGTGGTTCAATCGGGAAGAAAATGAAATAATCGGCCCTTGAGGCTGGAGCACGGCAAAAAACGTACCTCTAACTCTGAATGCATCACGTGACCGGCCCTAACATATGTTTACTGATAATCTGTTTTGCCTAGCTCCAGAAAGCAATAACAAAAAGAAGAAGAATAGAATAATAAAGATTAGGTGGAATAATACTTTTCTGTGCTAAATAACTAATGATGAAAATATATCACTACAGTATGTTGGAGAAAATGAAACATTCAAACAAATATTTGATGGCCATTTTTGACAATTGAGTTACTCTGTTTTGAATATGTATACGATTGTAATGTCTTCAAATCCATAAAAAAATGAGGATATCATTAATATGAAAAAGGTGAAGGTGTACTCAGCCTCAGTGAAGGTGTCCTACACATAAAGCTAAAAACGTAGTCACGGTGGCCAAATTGTGCTCTCCATTCCCAAGTAAGCTGTTATGAATGTAACATGGCTGCTGTATCACTCAGGTGCTGGCTCCTTTGGTGTGTTCTCCTGTGTTTTGGATGGAGTGGAGAGACAACAGAGCCACAGAGCTGCCTACAGGTCAAAACTTATACTCATATACAAACTAACTGTGACATGTCCAAATCAACACGGAGACTGAATTCTGTATAATCTCTTTCCTTTCTTTAGGTTTGTCCCTCGTCATTCAGATGAGCTGTACCTAGAGACGGATGACCCAGTGCTGCTGCTGAAGCAGTCTGAGGACCTGTGGTGTCAGGGCTACAACATGAGGACCGGGGCTACCGGCATCTTCCCTGCCTTCTACGCCGTCAGGCTGCCCACAGACACTATCCAAGGTCCATTGCAACAGAAATCTATAATACAAAAACTGAATAGCAGAGAGACAAGTGAGAAAAAAACATCTAGTGTTCTATTAAAGTCTGATCAAAATGTTCAGTGTACAGTATGTTGGCACATTAGTGATGGTTCAAATACATTGCCAGCTGATTGTAATACATGTAAAGTAACAAAACTAGCTAACATAAAATATACTGTATATTCCTTGTGTTTACAGTGTATGGAGAAATTAATACTCAGCTTGAAGAAAACATGAATACTTTGAACCCTTCTTAAAAATGTTAGGTAGTGGTGCACTTCAACCTGTTGTGGGAAGAATGAGTATAACACCAGTTTATTTTCAACTGTTTAATCAACATGATTTTCTTTTCTCACTTTCCACTCACTGCTTATTTCCTGACACAATCAGCTTGTCATTATTTAAGTTGATGTTATTATTATTATTTTGTTCCCATAGCTGCGAAGGATAGCTCGATAGAGAAGTTCCTGGTGCGATTCCTAGGTTCGGTGCAGGTCCCCATCCACAAAGGCACCGACATGCTTTCCTCTGCAATGCAGAAGGTACGTACAGGCAGTGAGAACAGAAACACACCATGAAAGTGATATAGTGGTGAATAAATACAACAACCTCCAGCTGGCGATCATGACATTGTCACGGTTTGTATGCGGACCTAAAAGCAGTACAAACAGGGAGGCTGGTCAGGGGATGTAAATAAGGTGAGCTTTTATTAAATAAAAAGCTGGTTCAACACACAAAAAACTACGGAGCAGGCAAGGGGGAACAAAAGGGAAAGTAACAAACAAAACAAAAACAAACCGGGAACACAGGAGGGCAGACCAGAGGCCTGTACTACGAAGCCAGTTCAACAGACCCTGGATATGTTTTAGTTACCCGGTTTACCTAATCCAAAACAAACGCGCTCTCGCTAAGCGGTCCAACGACGCTGGTTATCAACTCGGTAACTCAAGCCAGGGTTTCTCTGGCCCAATCCCAAACCACCCCCCACACCCTACCCCAGGCATGGACAAACTAAGGCTCGCGGGCCATATACGGCCCGTTGGGCTTTTTAATCCGGCCCGCCGAATATTGGTAGAAAATTGTCCAAATAATAGTAAAGACCGCATTCATTTTGCCTTTTTCCTGCAATACCCGACTTTTCAGTTGATCCCACTAGATGGCGCACTCTAGACACATTGACCTTTGCTGGAGTCTGGTCTATTCTATGGCCCCACTCGGCAACCCGGCAAGATCTAAGAACCAAATACGTCGAGATTAACCTGAGCAATAACAGTTCATGGCGAGTACAGCGAATACAAGTTGTAACAAGCAGTAGCGCTGAGCAAAGGGACTAGAACGCGACCACACACTTATAAAAAACCACTTATATAAAGTCAGGCAACACGAACCAGGCTTAGTGTGATTCTGTTTATTTTACCTTACTTTAATGACCATCCGTTCACTGTTATTGATCATTGTGAAGAGGCAGACGTTTTCCTGTTGTTTTGTATTATTGCAGCTATCGGATGGAATCAATACATGGGCTGCATGTGGCCATCACAAGTAAAATCATAACAAAAACTACGCCGGTAAAATGTGCCTGTAGAAAACGGCTTATGCCACAATATGATAGGAACAAGTAGTCAAGATTAGCTTCGGTTGCTATGCTAACATCACCTGTAGAATGCCAGAGAAACCTTCATAACACCGTTGTGATGCCAAACAGCGTCAATTCAGACTGAAACACATTCACTCATGGGGAATTGGGGATATGTATCAGCTGCTTGTGTGACAGTCAGACAGTGAATACTTTACAGCGGCCGATGCCGTGATTTAACGGGAGACTAAACTCCGGTGGACGAGCAGTACTGCAGTGGTCGGTAATGCCGCTGAACCACATTAATAAACAATGAACCATGGCACTCTGGAGAAAGGTATAAGGTTGGAGAAGTAGTTCTTTAATTTAATCTGGCTTCGTATGATTAAAAACTACCCGACGCAGTCCTCTATAGAGTGCCACAGTGACGCGTCCTAAAACCCGGAAGTAAGTTATCATTTTACCACTTCCGATTCCTTCAACAAAAACCAATGCAATTTCTCCATAGGATTTTGGAAAATAGCTCGAAATAAGGTCTGTGGTTGACACAAATTGAAGAGACAGATCACGTTTTGTTCAGCCAGATAATATCCACATGTCTACCCTACTTTTATAATTTTCTAATCATAAATCTTATCGATAGATTTATGATCTTATCGATAGATTTATGATCTATCACAAACATGGAGAAGCGTATTGACGGCGCAGCGTCATACTTCCTGAATGAAAAGTGAACTTTAATATTAGACAAATATGAAGAAGTTCAACTTTAAACATCCATGACTTAAACACTTTATCCAGGATAAAAGCCACATAGTTGCACCTGCAAGGTGGTAAAAGAAAAAGTGTTTGAATGCGTACATTAACAGGTTTATGATATCACTGCCCCGTCTAAGACACGAGTGGATCTGACTTTAATTACATTTGACTTGAGTGTTTCGTCAACTTAATGTGTTGCTTAACCCTCCTGTTGTCTTCGGGTCAAATCTGAGCGATTTACTACTTTCATCGATCATAACTTTTTTGTTTTACATTCGATTGCATTAAGGCTCCTTCACAGTAGACATTTGAACATATGAAATTGCTGACCACCACTTTCATTGAATTTTGGATGATTTAGTCAACTTTGTAACACCCATGATGTTCCCGGTCAAAAATGACCGCCATAAAGAAAAGGAATTAGTAACCATCCGGTTCAGATAAAACACGCACGCACGCACGCACGCACGCACGCACGCACGCACGCACGCACGCACGCACGCACGCACGCACGCACGCACGCACGCACGCACGCACGCACGCACGCACGCACGCACGCACGCACGCACGCACGCACGCACGCACGCACGCACACACACACACACACACACACACACACACACACACACACACACACACACACACACACACACACACACACACACATACACATACATACACATACACACACACACACACACACTCTAGATGTGCCCATCCCCCCATGTGAATCACACCTGGCACACACAAACGCACACAGAACAATTTGATACATTTCCCGCTCTTATGTGCCCATCCCCCCCATGGATCAAACCTGGCACATGCAATACATGTTCAGTGTCTATTCTTTGTATATTTAGTGCAGTTTTTCATGTATACTAGTCTGATACAATATGTACAGTTTGAAAGGGTTAATGGTTTTTGTGTTAATGTAATAGAACACCAAAGTAAGGGGGGGAAAACGAAGACAATAGGAGGGTTAAAATAATACATCTGCATACAGTATGTGACACTGTAAGTGTTGCACGGCCAGATACGGCTCAAGAAGCTGACTCAGATAAGGAAATATATGATACATTATTTATGATGTGATATGATATGAATGATAATGGGACACATCGACGTCTGCACTCACAGTGCCGCGGACTGTACGTAATGTTACTTTGATCCAGTTACTTATGTTGTGGCAGATATTTAAGTAAGCTTTCTTAATGCTAATGTTATAATAGTCAGATTGCTCTGAAGATGGGAGGGGATATTCTATTCATTTTCACGTTCACACAGTCAGTTCATTTTTGCCGGCCGTCTTTCCTGCAACGGAAGTTTTTCTGTATTTCCTTTATCCTGTAATATGACTTGATAGCTTTAAACTCCGCACACGGAGCTCTGATTGGTCAGCAGGCGGTGCTTTCACTGAGTTGATCTCTTATCCTGGAACCTAACCAGGTTAGCCGTTCAGCATAAGTTGCCATGGAGATCTAGCCCGGTAAGAAGAGAACCAGCGTCGTAGGACCGGAAACCCAGAGTTTTCCCTGAAGTTAGCTCGCTAAGCGAAAATCCGGCTTCGTAGTACAGCCTCAGGGAAATCCAGAGCAGGACACCAACAACCAAACCACCATAAAACGACGACGAACCGACAGAGATTGCAAAAGTACACACATCCTTTACTCAAGTAGAAGTACAGATACTCGTGTTTAAAAATACTCTGGTAAAAGTAGAAGTACTGACTAAACTTCTTTACTCAAGTAAAAGTAAAGAAGTATGTGCTTTGAAATGTACTTAAGTAAAAAGTACCCATAACTACCAGCTGTTTTAAAGAGTACCTGACCTCCCTTTATATTAATAGAACAATAATGTCATTGTTAGCCAATGAATGTTTCCATGCTGAACAACGGCAACATGACAACGTTTTCATTGGTCCCTCTTCTTTAGAGAAGACCAGGAAATGATGGATACACGGATCGTGTTCAAATCAATAGGCACGCGATGACTCTAAATAATAATGATCACGCCACCAAACACACATTCAAACTAAAGGAACCAGCCTGTTTTGAAAATGTAAGAAGTAGAACGTACAGGTATTTGTGTTCAAAATGTAAGAAGTAGAAAGTACAGGTATTTGTGTTGTAAGAAGTAAAAGTAAAAAGTCGTCAGAAAAATAAGTAGTGGAGTAAAGTACTGATACCAGAAAAATGTACTTAAGTACAGTAACAAAGTATTTGTACCAGTGGCGTAACTATTGAAGCCCTGTTCGCGGGGACGCGCAAAGGTGACGTCATCGCCTGTATTGAGCGTTCGCCTAGTTTTCTAAGCTTTTTTCTCTCTTTTGAATGATATATTTCCCATCAGATTAAACAGCAAACGGCTGAATAAATAATGTGCATAATATTGCGAGGTGGCTCGTTTTAAGGACACAATCTTCGTATTGGAACAAACTTCAGTTTTTAAGTGTAGTCCCACTCTGTTATGTTCCTTCTTCCTAGAACAGACAAATAAGATGTCATTTGTCAGTATAGTCCTATTTCTTAAAACCGTCTCTGTTGTTTAAGTGTCTGATAGCCTACTTGATAACCACGAATAGTAAGCAATGATATAACAGTAATGATATAACATATATGATAATGTCAGACAATGTGTTATTTTCAATCAAGCCTAAAAGATAATTTGTTCAAACTGGCTCCACTCGCTTTAATTGCTCCTTTGAATGTAATTAGTGCGAATGCTGTGCCACAGCATTCCACTGTAGTACTTCAAATCTTTATTCTTCCCCTTATTATTATTATTTCAACCATACTTTGGCTCTCCATAACTTCAGCTTACTTTCAGCTACAGAAACCATTCAAATATCAAACTATTCAGCCTGTTCAGGAATCGATGGGAAACCTTCAACTTTTTAAGGTATCAGATTTTTGACATCTTTTACGGTTTTTGACTTATCAACGTTTAAGTTTTGGTAAATGTACAGGCTGTTTTAGATTTTAGAGTGCGTGACATCATCACAGATGCCCCTTTCACACCGGCGCTTTTCCTGTTCACACCGCAGCGGCGCCGCGTCATAGCTCCGGAATGCGGTTCACTTCCAGCTCCAAAAAATTGTCGGTCTAGAGGCAAGAGCTTCGGAGCTATGACGCGCCGTCGCTTACGTCTCTTACGTCTCTTACGTCGAGGCGTGCAGGAAACTAAACCCACCTCCCCTGAACATGGGTC